GACACACATCGGAGGCAATGAGGAGTTCAGTGTCTTGCCCAGGGACACTTGAGCATGTGACTGCTGGTGGAGTTGAACCCCCAACTCTTGCATTGGAGGACGACTGAACTAACCACTCAGCCACAGCCGCCCCAATCAAACTTAGACAATTTACTTCATAGATACAAATGTAGCATATTTGATATGAAAAAGTATCTGAGTATTTCATAGAACGCCGTAAGCTATTTTACTTTATTTGAAAATGAAATAAATTTGAACATTTCACATGCCACCATAACTAAATCTCTGATTTACACAAATGGATTTTTTTGTTTGTTTGTTTTTGCATTGTACTGTATATAATAATTTCCTAGTGGGAGTGGTGGCACAGAGGTTAAAGAAGGTGAGCCTGTGATCGGAAGTTCTCCGGTTCAACTCCTGGTACTGACAACATCAAAATGTGGGTGGGATAGATGAAGCATCCACACCTGCCTCCACCTTCATTTGCCCTTAACCCCCACCATCTGCTCCCTCGGACGCCCTAGATCGCAGCTCTCTGCTCCACAGAGGGCTGTGGTTGCGTCATGAAGGGCGTCTGGCTGTAAAAATACTTGCAAAGTCTTCATGCAAGTTATTTCACTGTGGTGACTACCGAGAAGAAGGAAATAATAATAATAATAATAATAATTTCCTAAATTACATTATTATGAAAAAGCATCGTAAATAAATGCAGTTTCAATACTGTTAGATGCTTCATGTTTTCTGTAAGATCATAAATTTAAATAAATATTTGTTCCAAACCAAATACATTTCTTTAGAACGCATAAATGTCCTTAGAACAGATGTTTGATTTTTAGCTGAGGTCTTGATAACATTTACTTTGGTCCATTAATAAAAACGTATGTAAATCCATAGTAAACAAGGACATTTGTTAATTTCACCAATGTGTGAATTAATAATTATGAAGTATTAAATAATATTTGTTTCAGGCAAAACAAAACAAGAGTATTTTACCTACCTTGAATGTTCAGGCGTACTTTCACAGTTTTTATCATTTTTCCATCTGTGAAATGGAATTCTTCCAGCAGGTATTCTCCAGAATGCTTCTTCGTAGCTTGACCTACATTAAATTTGCCAATTTGTATTTGTTCAAATTGATTGCCGTATTTGTCATCCAGCAGTGCTGTACCATATCTATCTCTCTTTAAAATTCTGTACTTTCCATCTTTTGTCAACATAATCTTAGTATTCGATTTGTTTGAAAGATGAAAAATAAGCTGTTGTCCTTCTACGCCATGATATTGACGAACTCCTAACTCGTCCTCAAAACTGCATTCAAGAGGTCCTTTAAGAAACAAAGCAAAACTGTTAAAGTATAAAATATGTGACATGATATGTTGCACTAGCTAAAATCTTTGAAAATTTTATTACTGCCTAAAACCTTATGATAAACCCAGATTAGTTTTGACTTAATGTGCATTATCTTTTTCAAAATCCTTTTAAAAAATGTGATAAATACCCTTTGCCAGCGTTGTCGCTGCAAAAGTTGTGAAAATCAGAGAGACGATCATTGTTCCTGTAACATACATAAATTATAAGTCAATATCATTCTTCATTTAACATTGTATAAATGTACGGTTTCATACATGTTAAACTACTATGCAATAAAAACTTTCATAAAATATTAATCTTGATTTGAAACGTAAAATCATTTCATTGTAAAATCATTTCATTATTTTCATTTTATGATTCTGATAAACTAACATAGATTTAAAAAGTCCTTACCCTTCTCAGCGTGCGGTGACGTTGACCTTGCTGTTTGAAACTGACCTGTGTATTTTCTGCAGGCAGGACAGTTTCTGCTCTGCTTTGTTCTGTCTTGTTGACTGATATGAATGAAGGAAGCAGTCACACCATTAATTCTCAACCACAGATTACCAGAAAGGGGGTGTAGTGAAATCTACAAGTTACAAGCTTACTGTGCATTTTTCTTGTAAGTATATCTAAATCAATCAATCAACCTTTATTTATACAGGTAAATCCCATTGAGCCTCGAGGAATCATTTACAAGAGAGACCTGATTTCAACAAAGAAAGATGACAACAATGGACAACAGCAACAACAATAAACAGTTATAAAAAAGTATACTACAGGTTTTTTTTTTTTTAACAAATAGGATGGTTAAAAGGAAAAGGTAACAAAACAAAAAACAGCTAAATTCCAAGACAAATGTAGAAAACTAACAACAGGAACATGTCAGCATTGGACCCTGCCAGGAGTCCAACAGATTCTTAAAGACACATAGAGAAGTCAAGGTCGAGAGCTTCAAATCTTTTTGTAAGATATTCCAGGAAACAGGAGCGGAATAGGAGAAGGCCCTTTTGCCTAGTTAGAGAACCAACCAATAGTGTGTTCTGAGAAACCGATTTCTGAGAGTTTATGACACAAGATGTTATGATCCACAGTGTCAAAAGCTTTAGACAGGTCTAAGAAAAGTGCAGCACAATAATCTTTAGCATCCAGTGCTTCAACAACGTCATTAAGAACCTTCAGTGAAGCAGTTGTTGTGCTGTGTTGTTTCCTGAAACCAGATTGATGTGGAGGTAAGATGTTAAATGAGCCCAGGTAATTTTTGATTTGAGAGTTTATCAGTTTTTCTAGAACCTTGGCTAAAATGCAGAGTTTAGAGATTGGTCGATAGTTGTTCAGTGAGGTGGGGTCACCTCCCTTCAGCAAAGGAAGAACAAAGGCTGTTTTCCAAGTGCCTGGGATGGAGTTTTGTCTTATGGAGAGATTGAAGATGTGGGTCACAGGGACTGTGATGATATGAGTGGCCAGCCTTAAGAAATAAGGTGGAAGTTCATCTGGACCTGCAGATTTTTTAGGGTCAAGATCTTTTAACAGTTTATTGACCTCACTGACTGAGAATAGAGAAAAAGAGAAGCTGTGATTAACTGAGGATTGACTTCTAAATAAAGACTATCAAAAAATAAAAAATTAACAAAAAATACATCAAACAATATTTAGTACAAGTCATTGACAGGGAAATATTGTTTTATTCTTGAATGAAAGAAAACACTCCCATATCAAACAATGGAACAACAAAATAAATTGGGTAAATTAGGTGTGAAAAACTAAATGACATGTTTGCTTTTTTGCTTGTAAAATGAATCATAGTAAAGCGAGGGAGGGTTACTATTAATTTTATTTCTTAAGGCCTCTCCAGTTTTTACTTTCAAGCTTCTGTTTGTTGTTTATTTAATCAAATATTGAATCCATGTATGATCTGTTTGATTTTATGGCACTTTCATGTAAAAATCAAGCATTAGAGAATAAAAAACTGTTGTGCTCAGCACATTCAGACACTTTTACCTTTTTGTTCAATGGTTAGAGTTTCCATTTGGGTCTAGATGGTTACTCTCAAAGGTCACAAGCAGTGAGATGCAGAAGGGGGGGGGGGGGGGGGGCTTCTTTTGATCACTCTTGTACCAAAGGAAATTGGTTTCACTGCTATGTGAGGGACACAACTATTTTTATGTCTGTTCGTGTCTATGCACACGTCAAGCTTGATGTGAACAAAAAAAACAAAAGTCGGAGGGGAGTTAAATGTAAACTAACAACAATATTAAACATTTCTTCATGTCACCCAATATTTTCAAGATTTTAGCGCAAGGTAATGACTCATGTGTCACTTTAAGAATTCAAATTGTATTACAGAAAACATCCAGTGTGCCTTTTACTGGAACCATATGTGCCTTCATTTGCCTGACATACTACGTTCTGTTAAATAATGCGAGGTTATTGCTCTGATGTTTGTGCACTTTATTAGTTTGTTTGTTGAAAGCTGTTAATTAAATTGTCTATGTACCTCTGTAGGGTTCATTGCTATAAACCTATTGGTTAGATCGCTTCTGTTATACTTTTTTCTATTCAATTTTTTTGTTTTTTGTTGAGGTTTTACATTTCAAAAATGAAACTTTTTTTTATTTTATATTTGCAGGACTCATCTATTCCATAAAACTGCAGGTATCTGTACATATATTTATTCTCAGCTACTTATCCTGTTTGTACGATTTATTTTTGTACTGTTGTCTGTCAAGGAGGGTTGCAGAAATGTCTGGTCTCCTGTATTTTAATCAAGCAGACCTGTCTGAATGTATGACGTGCTGTTTGTTCACCAGTTATAGTTCAGTTACAACTTTTCTTGGAGCTCTGCAAAACTTGTGTTGAAAAGTGTTTAGTGTGGGTTTTCAATTATGCCAGCAGCCCTTTCTGCAAGGTTAAAGATCAAACATTCACATGCAAACATCACCTCTGAATGTTCTCACAAACAGCAAATGTATATATAAAAAAAATTAAAAAAACAAGTGTGCAAGTGACAGACGAAAATTACCGCAGCTTTCTTTTTTTTGGTCACTTCCTTAAAGTAGTTGCTGCTGCAACTCTATAGCTTTCTCAGTTTTGTTTTGTTTTTTTTTCATTGCAAGCTTGTGTTTCAAACCTGCAACATAAATACTATGTATGAGCTGTAAATGTAGTTTTTGACCATAATACTTTTTTATATATTTTGCTTGACATAAGAGTTTTATTTGTTCATATGCAGCCAAACACATAAAATGCAAAGACGCCAAGAAATCAAATATTTGACAAAACCCAAAATACACATTTCTGTTTCACAATCTTTGAGCCTTAAATGAAAGTACACTGTTTTTGAGGAGCGGACAAACACTGCAATCGCAAGGATCCTATTAAAGTACAAAAAGCATTTTTAAAAGACCGTTCTAATTTTCTGAAATCTACTACTACTTTTGTGCAGACCTTGTTTTTATGCGGTTTCAGATATGTCAGACAAAATAAAACACTGATACCACTATAGCACTACAAGTGTGTGCTATAAATTTGATCACATCCATCGTTAAAGTCAGTGGACTGATGATTGTTGTTTCCTAAATATATGTTTCTTATTACGATATCAGTAAAATTGTCCTCAATAAATTGTAAATCACAACTTGTAGGGCTGCTCAGTTTTTTGTGTTTTGACCAGCTTTCATCTGTCTCTTGGTTTTCTTCGTGCTCGATCCATTTTCCTCACTCTCCAATGATTCCACTTGTGAGTCATTTCTTTTAAAACACCAACCTAAAAGCAAATCAGCAAAAAGAGGATCCGCTGTTCAGAAATTGATACAAGAAAGGCTTAATCTTGAAGCACAATGTCTGGGTCATAAAAGTAAAAAATACCTTTGGTTTTTCCACACCACAGGATCACCCTGGTAATGAGATCATCCATGGGCTGTAATGAGGTCATCCAGATAGGAAGAAAGTTCCAGTTCTGTAGTCTAAGTGGCAAACAATTGGGCCTACGTACTTGGAGGATGTTTATAATTGTTACAAATATGATCAGTGTAATAACTGGTACACTGACTCCAGTCATCACCTTCCAGCCAGCCATGGAGAGAGCAAACACAACGGACGGGAACAGCAGGAAACAGACAAGAAGGTATAGGACAGCAAACCAACGGTACCTGGGTAAATGTATGTTACACGTTTTAATCATTACTTTCCATTCATTATGACTATTTGGATTTCTATTAAAGGCAGTAGTTAATCATAAACATTGTCTTTACCATCAATAAAAACAATAATAATTGAAAAATAATGAAATTCTATAGCTACCTGGCAGTACACTTGCCAAGGGAACAGGCCATACGTATGGGTAAACGGGTGGCTGGTATGGGATACCAAAGCAGGATACCAAGGAGGTTAAAGAAAAAGTGACATAAAGCGACCTGAAAGACACGCACAAATAAAACAAAATGGAAAATAAAGAGACCAAAAGAAAACCACAAAACGTTTGGGCAAAAAAAGGACAAAAAAATCCCCTTAAAAACAAGTATCCATCCATCCATCCAATAATTTACCCACTTCTTCCTTTATGGGTTTCGGGGGTCACTGGTGCCCATATCCAACCATCACTGTGCGAGAAGCGAGGGACACCCAGGACATGTCTCCAGTCCATCACAGGGACACATAGAGACAAACGAGACAAACCACCATTCACTCACAACTAGGGACAGTTTAGAGTTGCCAATCAGCCTAACATGCATGTTTCTGGTCTGTGGGAGGAAACCGGAGTACCCGGAGAAATCCCACGCAAGCGTGGAGAAAACATGCAAACTCCACCCAGAAAGGCCCCCGGCTGGGATTTGAACTGGAGTGACCTGCTTGCTGAGAGGCGGCAGCTTTACCAACTGTGCCACCGTGCTGCGCAAAAACAAGTGTATTATTTATTTTTAAGAAATCCTTTGATAAATATGTGAGAAAATTAATAAGAAGGAATTTATAAGGAATTGGGAGTTAGACTCCTGTTTTGATCTGTGCATTTTCAGACTCCCGACTAACATAAAAGTCTTGCAGGTGTTTTTTGAGCATATTTGTGGTGCATACCTGTGTAGCGGTGGCTAATTTATCTCCAGGACTTGCCAGTGCTGCCAGTAGAGCTGTAGTAGTGGTTCCAAGGTTCGATCCCAGGGTTAAAGGGTAGGCCCTTTCAATACTTATCACTCCAATCCCTGTTGACCAACAGCATGAAAAACACTTCTGCGTTTCAGGAAATCTACAACCAACTAAAAATGTGTTTTGTTTTCTTCTGTGGAAAATTTATGTCCGTAGGATGTTGATATTCTAAAGTAACTGATCTGTTAAAAATACAAAATGTGGAAAACTTGAAGGAACTTGGAAACCTTAAGGAAGACAAAAAGGTTTATAGCAAATACCTAAACAGGGATTTTCTTATATTTCTGCTCAGTGGTGGGCACAGCTAACCAAAACATTAGCTTAATTGACCCCATAATTACAAAATTAAGTTAAAAAAATTAGCAGAAGCTAATGCTAACCACTAACTGCTAAGATGTCTGTCACACAGTCTGTCTCACACATTTTCGTCTACTTCCTGTTGAAGCTGCATCAGCCAATCACAGCTTGTCACATGTATACATAGTAAGCCAATAGAGTGCCTAACGGACTCTTCGAGACACACCCACTTCAGACCGGGACAAAATTGTGAATTTTGTTAGTGGGTTGAAAGTTGGCGAAACCTTTAGCGAAAACTAATTCTGCTAAATGTTTCCAAAGTTAGCAAAAATGCTAATCCGCTAAACGAAATTAGCATATTGGCGGAACTGTACCCACCACTGTTACTGCTCTGTGATGACAGCTGGATTTACAATGAGATGTGCAGTGATGAGCCAATCTGTTCATTGACTCTTGTTGCTTGCATGTTTTTAGGGAAATAGTTTAAATAAAATGTTTTGTAGTTTTTGCATTTGTTACCTATGAGTGGAGTGATAGCAGACGTGAAGACAGAACTACTTTGAACCAAAAAAGTCATCCCAGCCCCAAATAATACAGCCAAATAGCCTGCCAGCCACGTAAAAGGGTAGGGGAAGTCTAAAAAATAAAACAATACAGTTTAAGAGAAAATGTAATTTTGCAGCAATCATACATTTTCACCATTGTGTACAAATGTGTCTCAACACCAATATATTTAAATATATATATATATATA